ATTTAGGGTTTAATATTTTCATATTTACAAGATTTCCATAGCATTTTAACCAATGTATTCTTTTAGAAAATATGTGCAGAAAAAATACTTTTGGACAAGACTGCATTAATTGAATGATTTAACAAATTTATTCTTCTTCCTACATCATGATAACACGAGTTGTTCTACTAAAGAGTGCTTTTTTAATTTATTTTTTATTAGTTTGCTTACCTTTGTGTCCTATCATGATCAAATTAAACTAATTGAGCAATAATGCAATCTGAACAAAAACTGTTTGTGTGCTATAATTATACATACATATAGACAGACATTTTCACATTATTTTTAGCTCATAAAAATACCATCAGAATGCAACATATAGATTTACTGAAATATAATATAATTGTGTAAGCTGCCTCTTTATATATATATATATATGCATATGCATACAGGTAAAACCTTTCAAGTGAACAAAAGGGAATATCTTTGCTTTGTAATGTTCCTAAATGTAATTTTCACCAAGTTTTTTTTTTGTACTTTTGAAACAGTAATATAGTTTCAGTTAAACAGGTAAACAAAAATATGCCGCAGAAACAGAAAAGTTCCTGACTGTTAAATTAGTTCTGGGACTTAAGAGACCACCCATCAACAGAAACTCGGCCTCCCTGATCCAAATGTTTGAGTGAAATCCTCATATTAGCTCCTGTCACAGAGCCAGAGAAGCAAAGCCTGGTCTTACTTTGAACCCTTCGCCATCATATTTTCCTCCTTCGAGCATTTTCTCTCTCAGCCTATCACGACATCTGTTTCGTGGCGCTCCTGTCGGGGCATCAAGCTGCTGGTGGAAGGTCCACCATCTCCGACACTGATGCATGTTTGGTTTTTATTCTCGTTTAATGTGTTCCAGGAGCGTGAGCGCGCATAACTGACCATTCAGACTTTCATCAAAACGAAGGTTTTTTTTATGTGGTGGCTGAGAAGTTAAAGTAAAAACTGCTGGTTATAACTCAACCAACATTACTTTCTCCTATAGCTGCTGTGTGTCTGTGTGTTTGTGTAGGATAGGTTGTTTTCTTTTATGTGCGAAAAAATATTTTATTTTCTCTAAGAAAATGAAATGCGACCAAAAAAATAGGAGAAAAAAAACACCCCAAGGTAATTTAATTTTGGTTATTTCAGATAAGATTTAATCCATTTTTCTTCTTTCTGTTTCCAGACGCCGAATGGATTGCCCACAGTGAACAGCTATGTCACAGCACCCAGCATCCCTCCCTACCACCCTCCCACCCAAGTGTCACCCTACATGGGGTACAGCGCCACCACGTCGGCCTATGTGACCGGCCCCACATGGCAGCCGGCCAGTGGCAGTGCTCTCTCTCCCCACAGCTGTGACATCGCCTCTCCWCTGGCCTTCAAGGGCATGACGGCCAACCGCGACGCCATCCACCCGCTCGCAGCCTCGGCACTGTGAGGTCGCCTCCACGGGGCTGATGGGAGGAGGGGTGGGGGGCAGCGGGGCAGAGAGYACTCAGTGTCTGTGGTGACGGTTCACTGCCTCCCTTCCATGAAGGACTTCCTCTGAACGAGACGCCACCAACTCCCCCCTCGATCAGCTGAACAGACTAAAGACACGCAAGGAGTAAACAGTCACACACACACATACACACATACACACACATACCCAAAACTGTGCAAAGAACTTGCAGGCAGGTGTTCGGAAAGACTGAAGTGTGACCGTATCTCCACCCGTCAGCATAAAATCTACTCAGATTCATTCCTCTTCAGGCAAAAAAAAAAAAAAAAAAAGTCTAAATTAATGAATATCAGAAGGAAAAAACTAACAAACAGGGAAAACACTTTGCTGGAGAGTTTCAGGGTGCTTGTTGATTTCTGTTGCCTTTTTTTAATTGTATTTTTTGTTGTTTATGATTTGATCAAATAGATCCTTCTTTTCCCTCCTTTAAAACGTCTAGCAAAAGCTACATGGAAACATTTTATTTATTAGCTTAAGGTACGTTAAATGAAGTGCAATTAGTCTCACAGGAAGCATGAAAACCGTCATGCACATTTGGAAAAAAAAAATTGGCGTTGGCGTCATGTTGGAGCAGAGCATTTTAACAATCGACAAATGTTGCACAATGAAATTGAATGTATCTTATTAAATTTTACAATTTTTCAACTTTTTTTTTCTGGTTATTTGAAGTGAAACATGATCACGGCTATACAATAATGTGTTAACTTCTGCTGACCTTTCTATCAGCTATGGTAAATTCAGGGTATTGTGGCATTCTGACTTGTTTTACATGAGTAGGAAACTGCTTTTCATAAACAAAAGAGAAAGCAAAAAAAAAAAAAAAATGCACGCTCTCAAAGGCTGTGTTTTTGATTTCCATGTGTCATGGCTCATTAGGAAAGTCTATCAAAAAGCCTGAGCGCACAGTGTTTGTCACCACAGAAAGCCATTCGCTGAAAATCTTCGGGCCATAAAACATCTCACATCTCTACACTAACCTTTAGTTAGAAAAGCTTCAGCTGATTGAGCTGAATTTATGTTCTTTCCTAAACGTTTCAGAACATTTGTTTCTACTAAAACATTAACAATTGTACAATTCCAACTAAATAGATGAACTCTTTTTGTTTTGTAAATTTTAAACTTTATGCCTTTGATCTTTCAGTGATTTATAACTTATGTAAGTCACGCCGATGCTTTTAGTTTGGTTTAGAGGTGCTAAATTAGAACATCCCTGCCTGTTTGCACAAAAGTTTAAAAACGTGCCCCCAGACTCGCAGGGTTGTGATGTAGTCCATGTTCGCTCAGGGAGCCACTAATGGGCATCTCCGAGGTCTCCGACYCAAACTTTCAGCAGCGGCACGAGGGGCCGAACGGGGTTTGTCGAGGCCGAACGCGCCACGTTGATTTACAGAAGAAAAAACACACCAGACGAATGAAAAATGACCAGATTGCAGAAAGATGCAAAAAGGCTTTTTGTGCCTTTTTTTTTCTAGAGAAAGAGGAGGGGGTGTAAAGTAATAAATTATCTGGTGAGTCAGGCAAGCCCCATCTAGTCCTGCAGTGGAAACCGGGGTTTTAAACAAACTGGGCTCCAGTGTGGAGGTGTTGAAGGATCACTTGATAAAGTTGTTCACCTGCTTTCTCAAAGTGCTGCCGAGCGTTGGAAGGGGAGGGAGTCCGGGCTCCGTCTCCTGGGTTCGTGTTTCTATCCGCCCAGCAGAAACAGGCCCTCCGTGTGACAGTGTCAACAGTCCTCCTCGTAGGCAGGAGCTGATTTGACTTGGAAAGCATTCTTTCCCGCATCCAGTGGTCACGGACCGTTGCTCACGGATCGTGGTGTCTCTTTGACCGTATCTGAACCACATCACAGGGACGTGATGATCACACACTGGCTGTTCAAACCAGCCAACGTGGCTRTACCATTAACCATCCATCACGCACTGCGAAGTCTTTCAGAGGCAGGAAAAAAAAAAGCTGTTCTGTTTTGTTATTTTACCCGGCCCACACAACAAGTCCAACCAACTTTTGCTTTCAACTACAAGAACCTGACTCACACAAAAACAATGCTTCCTGACCTAAAAAAAAATTCCCAACAACAAAGAACGTCTCAAAACTCTGATAATCCTGGCTCATCTAATGTTGTTCAGCTGTATGGTTTGAAAAAAAAGTGTAGTTTTGAAAATCGGAGCAGACACATGTTTATAATTAATTATGCTGAGTCTGACTTCAGTGTCATATGGTTATCTTTACTTGTTCACATGCAATCAGAAGCGAGGCGGCTCTGTGCAGAGTAACACAGAGCAGGGAATGTTGACACTGGATGAATGAAGGACGGCATGCATGCTTCTGCTCAATGAAGAGTTTGAAAAGCTGACGACAGCCAGAGTGTTTTGCTAATGTCTTAAAACAACAACGTTTTTTGGGGAAAAAAAGAACGTCTGCTTGCCTTTTGTGCGTGCAATGCAGTGTTTTTTTRCTAAGTCATGTAAATCGAGGAGGTTTTAATGCAATCATTAATCGTATTTGCATTGGAGGCGACAGGCAGAGCCAGATTGCAGGCTTGTCAAAGCCGGAGCCACTGAGGGTGAAGTGTTTCAGGTGAAGATGAAGACGGCACATCTTGCTGATTTATGAGCATTAAAGTTGCATGTGGAATTCAGGTAAAGGGTGGCTTTGTTGCCAAGCTACCAGCAACAGAGGCGCACACGTTTTAAACTGTCAGGTCTGAAACAAACACACACTCTGAGCACTTCATTACAAAAAAGGACAGGTTAAGCGCTTACAATTTCATCAGTTTGGAAACCACAGTTGTTAGTCTGTCACCACGGCCCCCCTGGGCAAAAAACCAGGAGCCGTTTGATTTTGGCACAAAGAAACTCCCACATTAAGGATGGCTGTCAAATACCAACATGGCTCAGCAAAACCTACAACCACGAGGCTAGGATGTGTCCCTYAGAGCAGCTAAGGCCTACGGCTGTGCAACAGGTGTGCGTGCCGTCGCATATTTGTGGAACAGATAGTCTGGAGGAGAAAGAGAATGCGTGCGGACCCCCCCTCCTCCCCGGTTCCTGCAGCCACATTTGAATTTCCTCAGCTTGTTGTTTTAGCTTGCACTAAAGCTATGCTCAGACACAGACTCGCCGGCCGCAGAGAGACGAGACTGACACCCGATTGGCTAATGCGACGTTTTCGGCTGACAGCTCGTCACACAACAAAGTGCTCGCCTGGTGGGGAGACAAGACGCGAGTGATGGTGCGGTCGGCTGAAGAAAGCTGATCTGCTTAGATCAGCGCTGAGCTGAAGCACTGCCAGCGCAGACAAACATGTGACAACACACAGCTATTAGAAGACAAGGCAAGTGTGTAACGCAATACACACACACACACACACACACACTGAGGGGCTTATTTTCACTTTTTATTTTTTAACCATTGCACAATAATAGTTTTCCGTCTCTTTAAGCAAAGTTTTAGAAGTCAGATTGAAAAAAATGACAAAAAAAAAGTCAAAGCTGAACATAATAAAATCCACTGTAATTTATCAGTGATGTTTTAAAGAAAAGATGTGTGATGGCACTGAAAATTACAAATATGCAKAGAAGAAAGAAAAAAACAACAACAACAACCTCCCTTTCAGTAGATTTTGTTGATATAATTTGGATTGGGTTGGCTCTGGAATGAGAACACAAGAGCCCTGAAGGGTCGGAGTGATTCAAACCATGTAGTCAGTGTGTGCTCACAGGASTTTTATAAAAACCAACAAGCAAATTAATAAAAAAAACACAAGTTGATTTTCATATTTTTACAAATATTAATGGGTAAAACTTTTGTTTAGGGAGAAAATCACTAACTTAATTACTAACTGTAAACTTGTCCTTAAAAAGCATTAAAAATTTGTTATGCCGATATTGTGAAATAAACTTTTGCAAATAAGAAACCATTACTTTTAAAAAAGTTACTAATTACTGTCTCTTAAAAGCAGATAGAGGCGTCTGAACTTCATGCTTATAAAGCAGGAATACTACAGGAATAGGTTTTGTTTTTGTCATTAATTGTTATTAAAGCTCAGACAACAATGAATACTTTTTTGCTAATTCAAAATGTTTCCAATTTTGAAGACAAATTTTGATTAGATATATTAGTACTTTGATTAAATATCAAATAATTTAAAAAGTGTTTTATTACACAACAATATAGTCATTCCTGTTCTAAAATGTAGTTGTGTTCTAGTAAGAATTAAGTGTCTGAATATTCAACAATTAATAAAACCCAAAGAATTTTTAATCTGAGATTTAAATCTGAGAATGAACCCTGACATTTTTTTAAAGGTATGAAACACATAACAATACTCTTGTTAATAAAAAAGTAAATTTGTAGGTTTAAATAATTAAATGAATGAAGTGAAAATGGTTTCTGATTAAAAAAAAGGAAATTGAACGTGGGAATTTGAATCCACGCTGTCACTGCGGTGCAGCAGCTGTGTGTGAATAAGAGTTAGCTTCAGAAGAAGGAACTGGTGTGGATTAAGTTTTAAACTACTGATAAATAAGCTTTGAGCAAAACCTGAACTCAGAATGGGGAACATGCTCTGAGTTACAAAGAACTCATTCATTATTGTTTATGCCTTCAAAAACTTGTTGTTAGGCTTATTGTTAGATAACCAGACATATTGTGTAGGTGTTAAAGCACAGAAACTATTCTTGTTGTATTCTCATATTTTCTTTTAGCAAAGCTTATTTAGATCATAAGCAACAATGTTTAATATTAATAAACATGACTAATTTTAAAATAATTACAAATAGTCTGTTACAGAGTTAGGTCATACAGAATATGTATTTTTAAATGTTTAACAATATTTATTGAGTACTTATTACTTACTCTGTCATTTTCATATTCAAAGTGAAAGTTCAAAGCGTTTGAAGTTGGTTTTGTGGAAATGTTACAATTAATGGATGTGTTGTAGAAAGTCCACCTGATGTTCTTACAGGATGTGCCCCCGGGCTGCACTAGAAATGCTGTTGTTGTGGCTATTTGTGCTTGCAAATTACCTTAAAATTACATGTAAATAAGTTTAGTAAAACTGAGCGCAGTGAAAAGGTTTAAAAAGTCTTGTTTGCATGAACAGCTATAAAATTTCCGGGTTGTTTTAAGARGGCAGTATTTTTGGTTTTCCCTAAATGAACCTTCAGCTCATCAGTTTGGTCAGCATTAAACTCTTTCTCCAAACTGAGGCCSTTCAAATAGCCATCTACAACAGGTGAGATATTGATTGTGCATTAACCTCTCACAGAATGCAACTTGAAACKACCTGAATCATCACTTTTAAAGCCCATAACACTTATTTAAACTTGGATATCAGAACTCTAAACGATTTGCTTTCATCATTTCTGTAAGCAAACAGGTTTTTAGGACATTTTAATTCACAAAGTAGACAATGTTTCAAAAACATTGTAATGCTAGTTTATATTTTAAAGAAACTAGAAAAAAACGTAAATTTGGTCTGGTGTCAAAGAGGTCAGTTGACAAAATAAGCAACGAGGCACATTTAATAGGGAAATACTGCTCGTTTCCTTTTCGTTTTCTTCCCCTTCACCAGTTTTTCTGTAGCCATCCAGACACATATTCATAAACCAGCAGCATCACCGCGCCACCTGTAACAAAATATAAACGTGAGCCACATGTAACCAAAAGTATTTTCCATAGGAAGTGAGTGACAGCCAGTGTGTGCTGCCCTGCTAAATATGATTTCCTGGAAAAGTGGAAAAAGATATTTTTTAAACAAACATCAAAATTTGTAGCTAGTGTCCACAAAGGGGCGGGTGCTTTGTCTTGTTCAGAAAATTCAAACATGTGATGATTTAATCAGTTTAACGACACATTAGTATGTTTGGGAGGGATGCAGTGCTCGCCACATCTTCACTCTATCCTGGCTACATTTTTCACTGTTTATTCTTTGAAAGTTCTGACAGGATGAACATTTCTAAAAAGTTTTCATTTGGCTGATTATTGAAATGTAAAAAATATATATAAGAAATACAAAACCAAAACTAAAGTGAAATTCAAATAAAAATAAGTGACTGCTAATATATTATATATAAAACAAGGATATATTCAGTTTTATTAGAATTAGAAGATTTTTTTTACCTGGTCCAAGTCTCATAATCTTGGGAACCAATCCTTTATACAGCGCCAAATACCTGCAGTGAAGAAAAATATATGCTTAATTATATAAATATATGCATGTATTTACTAGGGGTGCAACGGTTCGGTACTTTTTGGTATGAGGGACACAGTTTGGTACAACAGGGAAGATAAACAAAAAAGCAAGCACTACTTTGTATTATTTTTGTTTTGTTAAACAGAAAATAATGAGAGACAAAAACAGAAAACAAAGCACTGCTGCTGCTAGCAGGAAGYGCTTGGGTGGCATTTAACATAAAGCAAGGTAGGTTTTTCCTTTTAGCCTGAACTATAAATATTGTCTTCTTGTCAAACAGAAAGTCTGATAAACCCCAGAAAGCTTCTTCTTATTTATTTTTCTTCTTTTTCTGATGGTCAGATGTTGGGTGTGTTGTCTTGTGTGTTATTGGTGTACATTTCACGTCGTCGAATTCCTATCGGTTTCTCTCTTCACAGTTCTTACATTTCTCTTCTTCTTTGTCTTTTTCTTCTTTATGTGAAAATGTAAATTTGTAAATTTAATAAAATATGAAACACTAAGCTTCTCAGCAAGGGATGTCCTACAGTCGTGTGGAGAAATGAAATTTGTGTTGATAATCTGGTATAACTCTTTGTCATCCACACTTAAAATATCGAGTTACAAAAAGATACAGTGGCTCGTCAGTCCAGCTGTTCCTTGAAATATACTGACACAGTTTCCAGAACTATTTAACTTGTCAACGTTTTGTTTGTACCATAAATATACTGTATATATATGGTACAGTCCTATAGGTACAAATACTGTATATCTTTCAAGGTAACCTGATACAACTTTTAGGATAAAAAATTGTGCTTTTTTTTAAGTGCACCTGCCATCTGGGTCTGCGCTAGCTTGGTGGTCAGTGAWGCTGTCTCGTAATCCTGGGGTTGCAGGTTGAGRCAAGCTGGGCACCCAACATCAGACACTTGTCAAATTGTTCAAGCGAGTTTGCAGAAGGGAACAGCCAAAAGAAAACCAACAACAACACACGAGCTTTTCCATCCAACTGATTTGTCTCKYACAGGCAGGTCTTCAAGCTTCTGCATATTTTTCTGGACCAAACATTCATGCTTTGTTTACTGTAGAGCATATAGATAATATCTTCACCTGTCAGGGCTGTTAGTAAAATGCAGCGACACCCACACACCCCCCCCAAAAAAAAAAAAAAAAAAAAAAAAAACCTTGATCCTGGTGAAAGCAGTGATCACCTGTAACTGTAACTCATCGTTTAAATTATACATATTTATTGTTTAAATTACGTACCCATCCCAAACGTCTCTACCAAACTGTCACATACAAATACACAAACCATTACACACCCTTATTATACACAGGATACATACAATGTTTTAAAAATGCATGTGCTGTACAAAATATTTGTTCAAATATTGACAGATTTTATCCACGTCTTACTGAAAAGTAACCAAATAAAGTACAAGTATTGGACCCAGGTTAAAACTACTCACTGCAAAGTCATGAAAACTAGTAAAAAACAAGTAAGAAACAAAATATTTTGCAATATTTTTCTTAGAATGAAAATTAATTTGACTTTATATCAAATAACTGTAAGCAAAATTATGAACTGCTGCCAACTTTGCAGTGCGTTTGTCTGCGGAGACGCCTGAAGTCAAAGGAAATATGCCAACAATGATGATGTGTATGGAATTTGACAATTTGATATAGTTAGGCATAAACTTTTGATATTTGATTTCATATTTTGCAGTGAGTTGTTACAACTCTAGTGATTATTATTGATATCCCAGTTCTCAGTTCAATTCATTTGTAGATTAAAAAAGGACATAAAAAGCACTATTTAGAACAATATCTGTGACAAAAGCAGTTTTACTTTCATTACCTGTTAATTTTTTTATGACTATATTCATGTATTTGTGTTCAAGCTTGTAAATGCATGAATGATTGTGGAAGTGAGTGCTTGCCTTGCTTTTTGTCGCCCTGCATGCCGGTCACCCCATCAGGGTCTGAGAGCCGGCACTGACGAGTACCTGCCCCTTAATGCATTCAAGGTGATCAGTGGCTGCCTGCCTCTGCCTCCTGCTCCCTGTCCCACTCACTGCTCCCGCCACTGATGGCGTTAATAAGGCTCGACCCACTTCCTCCCTGGCCCTCTGTCTGATTAGATTGACCCGTGGAGCGCCGTGCGGCTCGTTAGGGTCTGCTTAACGATGTCTCCCATAGGGACCACTAATTAGCTGAGACTGTGTTGTGTTAGAGAAGGGGATGTGGCAGAGGGGGCACACTTTCTGCACTCCTGCGACAATGTTTCAGCACTGTTTTCGTAGCAAACCCCCAACTGCAGGCTAACGACATCCACTAACTACAAACATCTCGCAGGGTCTTGTCTTGTGGAGCGGCATGGGGCTGAAGTGGAAAGCCCGGGGCGATTGCTAACAAAACATACATCTTCCCTTGAAGCCTTCATTTGGAGCTGTCGTTCTCTGAGGCTTGAAAATATGTCAGCAGCTGCTACAGAGGAAGCACACTGCAGAAATGTTTGGGAGGAGTAGAACCAATAATCTAAAAAGGAGTATTTCACAGTCTTGCACAAAGCTTTTTGAACTAGAAGTGTACAAACTTACCTAGCTGTTAATCTGGAGTTGAAACTGGTGTATTTGTCCTCACTGATAATTACTTTGTTAGAAAACCAACCATCAACTGCTAYCACAACAAAGTGTCTCATAAATTCTCGGATGCACCTGTGACAGTATTTTCTGGTTACTTATCCCCCCACAACAGGCTCTTACCCCTCTTCACGGTACACCAGTGCCATGGTCTGGAAGCAGGTGCGGTACTTGATCTCTCCTGGCACCGGCTGGGGCCCCTGGATGCGGCTTTTGGCCACGTCAAAGGGAATATTTACACATGAGGCGATGGTTCCAGACGTTAGGCCGATGGTGAACTTCCTGAGGAACTCTAACGTGGGGTCCTGCAGAGAAGATTAAGATAAAGCAGACTGGTTCAAGAAGCACATTTTATTTAGTGAAGACAATGAAAATATTTCAGACCCAGCATACCTTGAAAGAATACAGACTACTTGCTGTCTTGAAACTTTTAGACTGTGCTAGTAATAAATGTCAAAAGTAGCCGTTTTGGTCAAATCTTCAAAATAATGTCATGCAGGATGTTATGCAATACTGTGAGATCTCGCAAGTTTAGCAAGTTTTTAACTCACTATCTGTAAAACTGACTGAGTTACAGCCATTATCACACTTCTCTGAAGAGGCGGCCATCTCAAATCCATTTGACTCCAAATATTAGAGTTGTAGATGAACAACCAAGGATTATTTTCTGATTTCCTTTTGAGCATTTCATTAAAATCCACTCAGTGGTTTGATGAGATATTGTGCTAACAGGCAGACAAACCATCACACACACAGACAAAAACTTCAGAATCATTGCTTGTCGTCTCTTGGGCAGGCAATAAAAAGCTAATGTAGTGTTAAATTTATTGGCACATGACACCAAAAATAAACAAAATAATAAAACAAATGTTGTGATTTAGTAATTACAGTATATAAGACACTAAGTATGAGTGAAAAGGAAAAGAGCAGGAGGGGACCGACGAGTATGATTGCAAAGCTGGCATGAAAGCGATGGTCATTTTATGGTAGCGGGGGGCAGATTTGTGCTTTTTGACGGCGGTGCGGCCTTGTGATTGGCTGAGCAGAAGCACATGTTCTTCGAGGAGCCGAGACGGGAGGATTTATAAACAGGGTTCATGCAGGCAGACTGGGAAGGCATATGGGGACAATTTGGGTAATTGGGCTGTGACTCGGCACAGGGGTATTACTGTACCAAAGAAGCCCAGACTCAGAGAGCTCTGACAGCTAATTGGCCAGGATATTTTTACAAATGACAGCAGCCACTCCTGTCCAGGGCTTTCTCAAACGGCCGGACACCCTGAGAGCTGTGGTAAATCAACAGCTAATCCCACTTCTTCAGATTTTTTCAAGTGGGATGTGAGGAGTGGGGGGATATAGCCACGGCTAAGTACACCCATCAACCCACTTCCTAACAGCCTTAAGCAAACATCTCCTCACACATTCACTGTTGAATGATGGCAGTGTGTATCTGCCTCCTATTCAAATGTTCATACTAGAGAAGCCTGGGCTTGGGAATCTGAATTTGACTATTGCCATGATTGATTTGAAAGCTCATTGCTCATGTTGCCGATAAACTGCTTTGGAGAAATGCCACCAACAGCTCAGCCTGCAAGACGTCAAAAGCTACAAGACTCTACAACACAGTGTTGGGAAAAGTATTCACCTAACAGGTTTCTTCTGTTTGCTTTTTTGTCCCACCTAAATGTTTCAGATCAACAAACAAATGTGAATATCAGATAAAGCTAACTGAGTAAATACAAAATGATGATTTCATTGATTAAGGATAAAAATCTAATCAATCCCCCTAAGTAATTATTTGTAATTTTGCCGCTGTGCATCAATGTACTGCTGCAGAACCCAAGTGTTTTTGAGCTTGTGGTCATAAACCGGACAATCAGAAATTTCTGGTAAAAAGCAGAATTAATGCTTCCATCAATTACAGTGTGTTGTCCAGGTCCTGAAGCAGCAAAGCAGCCTTGGACCATTACACTACCACCACCATATTTGACTACTGGTATTGGTCTTTCTTTAAAATGCAGTTAGAARGGAAGGCACATCTTCCTAAAAATGTCACTTTTGTCTTGTCAGTCTAAAGAATATTTCCCCAAAACTGTGGGGATTATGAAGATGTTTTTTGTTAAGTGTGAGGTGGGCATTTGTCATTTTTGGCTTTGGAAATTTTCCCTGGAGGACACTTTTTGCCTCTTTGTTACTGTTGAATCAAYAACTCTGACCTTAACTTAGTGTAAGATCTGCAGGGATATAAGGTCTCTACGTACTCCATGTTGAAATCTGCTCTCCTTGTCGCAGGTGCGTAATGAAAATTGTGTAATTTGTTRGCAACTTCAAGTCTTCCGCCCCTTCTTGTCACAACCTGCCGAAGAACTTTTCAACCCCTCTGCATAGGAAATTATTGTATGATTGGTCAGAAGTTTGTGGTGTGTTTGTTTATGATGCAAGTGTTTAAATCCTGTGTATTGCTTCAACTACTCTTTTCCAGAATCCAACCGTTGTGCCCTGAAGCAGACATTTACATTGCCCAACCAAAAAAAYTCCCCACCTGGATTTAACTCAGGTCTATGATGTGYGGTTGCTGCAGTTGATCAGGTCTAGGTTCAGCAATAGTCTGAGCTCAAAGAATGAGGTCAGCTACCTCAATATACTGAATGAGCAYGTTATTCCATCAATGGATTCTTCCCTGATGGCACAGGCATATTCCAAGATGACAATGGCAGGATTCATCGGCTCGAACTATGACAGAGTGGTTCAGGGAGCATGAGACATCATTTTCACTCATGGATTGGCTCCACGGAGTCCATTGAGAATCTTTGGGATGTGCTGGAGAAGGCTTTGTGCAGTGGTTAGACTCTACCATCATCAGTGCAAAATCTTGGTGAAAAATGAATGCAACACTGAATGTAAATAAATTTTGTAACATTGCAGAAGCTTATCCAAACAATGCCACAAATAATGTGTGTCGTAATCAAAGCTAAAGGCGGTCCAACAAAATACTAAAGTGTGACCTTTWTTTATTTATTTATTTTTTGGTGGCGACTTTTTGTTTTGGCCAGGCAGTGTATAATGATAGTCAAATGGCCAAAAACTCATGGATGGAGATAAAATAAGACATTTTGCAAGAAGGAATCTGACAAAAACTGGACACTTCTGGGAAGTTTCAGCACTGTTCGCTGGTTTCTTCATTTATAGGTAATGGATTTATTTAAGTAATTTCTTGATTCTACAAGTCTGGCAGTAATCGTGGGAGGGAGTGATGAACGAAATTGAACTCAACAACAATAAATAAATAAATAAATAAATAAATAAATAAATAAATAATTCATAACTTAAACTGTACTGTATGAACTGAATTTACTTGGTCACATAAGGCCAGGTTGATTTAAAACATTCTTTACTTTTCATAACTGAAATCATCATTTGAAAACTGCAACTTGTGTTTACTCAGGAGATCTCTATCTGATATCAACATTTGATTTTATTTAATAATTCGACATATTTAGATGCGACAAAAAAGCAAAAAACAGTAGAAATCTGTAAAGGGGCATGTATTTTTTGACAGTACTGTAGCACTTGTTAGTCTCTCAAAAATAGTATCACAACCCAAGAATGGAGCCATTTCAGTCATCCGGCCACATAATTATCCCTCACAAAGGATGACCAAGTCTAGGTACATTTTTCTGCCACTGGAAAAATGTTGAAAATATGGCAGAGCCAGGCCTCCCACTGTGACCTCCTCCTTAAAAATAGCACTGTTGTCTGCTTCCAATTAGTTCTTTGGAGTTAATCGAATGCTCCAGTTTGTACATGTGGAAGTAACGTATGGTAACGTTTCCATTAAACAAAATTAACTTTTGTTTGGGCCATCAGGCAGTGCCGGATGTGTAACCTGAAACTTTGAGGATGTTATGAAGAGCAAACAGACGGGGTATTAGCAGAGCTGATCGTGGAAGCTCCCCTCTGATTTTTGCTTCCTCCATGCCAAGCAAATAATGACTTTTAAACACTTGATATTCTCCTCTAACTATGTGGCTAGAACATTTGAGGATTGCTGAGCCTGAGGTTGCCAGAAGTACGTAGAATCAAAGGTTAGAAACACTTAAATTAAATTCAAGGCCTTGCATTCTTAGACAGAAAGCATACAGCCTGTCCCCCATTCATGTCAGTTAGATCTTATTATGACAAAGGGACAAAGTAGTACCTGGTATAGTTGAACCTTCAAAATGACACGTGACACTAGCTCTCAGGTTTTGTATTGATGATGACTTTTAGCTACTACTACAGTAATTTTAAGTTCAGTAACTGTAAAACTGACAAATTAACAGCCATTTTTGTGGTTTTTAAGTGTTCTTATCAGTGAGGGCCATCTAGAAGTGAGTTCACTTTAAATTACAAAAAGGCTGTAGATGTACTTTTTATTAATTAATTAATTAATTAATTGATTTAATTTTTTTTATCGTTATTAAACCAGACAAATCTCAATGAGATTGCAGATCTCACYTGCAAGGGTGACCTGGCCCTGAAGGTAATCTACTGTACATATTTTTGTGCTGTGGTCTGGAGAGAGCCCATACAAGCACAAGGAAAATGCAAACTCCACACAGAAAGACCCCGGGTCCAAACAAGGGATCAAACCAAGACCTTCTTGCTTTGAGGCATCAGTGCTAACCACTGAGCCGTCATGCTGCCATGATTGCCAGTTGTGGACAAAGTACTCAGTTTCCTTACTTGAGTCAAAGTACTGATCCTYCTGGTCAAATACTGTATAACTCCAATGAAAGTAAAAAGTACCTRWYTCAGATTATTACTTAAAGTACTGGAGTATGTGATTTGAACTTTTTTAAACAATGCATTTCATTTGAGTGTAGCTGAGAATAATTGGGACAATTTCTGCTACAGTATATTGGTCAGATCAGTATGATGATAACAATAATAATAACAACAAAAATAATATTAATAATCCATTAGTCTTATATAGCACTTTTCTAGATGCTCAAAAATGCTTTACAATTAATGTGTTATTCATTCACTCGGTCAAATTCAGTGGCAGAAGTCTGGCTGCCGTTCTGCACCATTGGACCCTCCAGACCACCACAATCACACCAACATGTTTATACATGGGGAAGTTGAGTTAAGTGTCTTTCCCAGGTACAAAATAACAATATGCGCTCAGGCAGGGATTTGAACCACCAACGCTCTGCCTGCAGGGAGATTGCAACCCCCTGCACCACTGAAATCTATATACAGTATTCCACATTATGCCTCTTTTACAAGAACTGTCAACTCATTAAGTCTCTACAAAGTCACCAGTTCAAGGACAAGGCTTGGGAAAGTTTTTGATAGAGCCTCATATTAAGGGACTAATTGAGGAGCTCTGAATCTAATCTTTAGGGGAAGCACTTCATTCTGAGCTTTTTAGTTATTTGTAATATTTGTACTAGTTTACTGAACTTAAAATAATATTTGTTACAATAAACTAGAAACACTTTTGTACAAAACAATTTAATAAGTGTATTTGGTGCAAAACGATAGACCAAAGAGACTAAAAGTCTAAAATGCTTTAACTTTGGTCCAAACTGAGACAAGTCCATGTTAAAATGAGGAGGACTAATCAGGATCTAAATAAAGACCTACAATAGTGCTGAAACATGCCTAGTATACTTAGTGTACCTATAAGGCAACACTAGGACTAGCTTGAACACTGCTTATCCCCACTTACTGTATAGGGGTGTAATGTGACATTTTACAGTGTGGTGGAACAAAATAAAGGCAAACTACACAAACACGGTCCAAAAAGTAACTAGTGTCTAAAGCCTTTAGAGAAATATATTGGAGTAAAAAGTCAGATGTTTTATCGTTAAAATGTAGTGGAGTAAAAGTAAATAGTACAAAAATGTAAACCGTACTTAAGTATAGTGTTCAATAAAATTTAATTTGTTACTGCCCACCTCTGATGATTACTGTCTGAGATTTTAATTAAAATCCATCCAGTGAAATATTTTACCATTATGATAGACGTCAACAAACATTAGTTTGTATTTTTATCTTTATTAGGACCATTCATTGATTTCCATTCATTTCCAGTCCTAACCTAACACTGACCCCTTACCCTAAACCTAACCCCCCACCCAAAAGTAGATATTACGACCGTTCTTTGGTCTCCATAAGGACTACTGGTCCTGACAAGGTAGGTACTTATACCAGAAACGGTCTTAAAAAGGTAACAAATCCAYGTACACACACACAGATATGGGCAAAAACATTAATCCCCATCTTTGCCGACATTTTACCGAGCTGGTAGGAATAGCATCCTTGACATTGAAGTAGAAGCCAAAGTAGATCATGTTGAAGACTCCATGTCGTCCCAGTGTTGATGTCAYCCCTTTGTTCAGTCCTCTCAGTCCAAAGCCCCCAGACTTGATTATGTGTTTCGCTTGAGCAAAAGCAGAGGGCTGCTGCAATGGACAGTATTTAAAAAAAGATCTTGTTAGGGAACTATAAGAAAAAAAAGGTGAACGATCAATAAGTTAACATGGTATTCTGTTTCAGGCCACCTCTTTGAAGGAGTCTCTGTTGGCTTGGAGACTGACTTTCACCACTTCGAAGGGATTGACAACAATGGCCTCGGTCAAGCCTGAGCCGAGACCTGCTGCAGACAGCGCCTGAGGGAGAGAGGGGGAGGGGACGTGGACAAGATTTAGGACTGAGAGTGAGAGGAGAAAATTTAGCAGAAGAGATAAACCGTTACAGATGATGAAGATAGCCAACATCTTCCAGCTATAAGAGCTCAACTTTGTCCTTCTCAGAAATTGTTCTGAGGTTGTTTTATTTTTTATTAATGCAAATTTATCTCTGTCATGGCAGTCATCACTGTTGTTTGACAAATGCTTGCAGAAACACACAAGACACCTGCGGGTGTTATCATTTTACAAAATGCCAGATGACAGATTGGGGGGGAGGGGTGAAATTCTAGAGAACTGCATTAAAGGAAGTTGGAAATACTTTATTTCAATATTGAGAAAGAAACTATTATTATTAGTCTAGCACTCCTTGAGTGAAAGCATATCGCCTGCTGCCTTATATGATTGTGTTTTAGATTAAGATCATCTCATGTTGAGGAATGACAAAGTTGTAACTGTTTTGGTCAAACCTCAAAAATAACATCTACATTCTGCAAGAAGTAACACTCAGTTTGTGTCGTGAACGATCCTCAAAATCTGTAAAATTCACTGAGTTACAGTCATTGGTGTGTGGGCTACGGTCAACTGGCTGCGGTGGACATGAATTGGATTAACTTTAGCATTAATCAGTTGTAGACGTACATCCAATGATTACTTTTTCAAAGTGTTTCATGGGTTATTTTGCTAACAGACAGAAGTTGACCCCAACAAACATTGTTTGAGGCAGAGACAATATGTTGTTGTCGAAATACGTGTTAAGAAAAATGCTCATTTACTACAATGACAAATTTCGGTTAGTATCTGTAAAATGTTTGATTTCTACCTATTTCTGAAAGCTTCATTACAATCTGTTCAGCGGTTTATGAAGTATTTAATTAATGACACACACAAAAACATGCAAAAACATTATCTCACTTTTGTCTTTGGTAGCAGGAGATCATAATAATATACGTACCTGGCAAGTAATCTAAAGTAGAACCTGCAACAGCAACATGTATTTGCACTGGGCTCTGTCATCCTGCAGGATTGTGTGTCTGTGTGTACGTGCTTAGCAAGGAGRGTAATGGGAACATGTCGAGAACGTGTCTATAGCTCATTACTCTCCCTGCGTCTTTATCCTGCTGTCAGGGCCCCGGGACCCATCCTCTCAGACTGCCTCGTGATGTTTACACAGCCAGGCAGCCACGTTTTAATTCCTTATTTGTATTATTACTGTGTGTGTCCTCATTAATCAGAGTGAAGGCATTCAGCTGTGCCACGTTGAAGTGGAGAGAAAGAGGTGCGTTCAGAGCCAATCTGTAGTTCAATTGCACTAATGATCTGATGTGATTACAGTATTTGATATGTGCAGACCTCTGGGGAATCTGAGGTTAGAAGCACTTGCAGGGGGAAAACAGAAAGGAGGCAGCATAGGAGAGTGAGAGAGAGAATGATGGATGAGCTGGGTTAACAGATCTCTACTAAAGGCTGCCAAAAAAGCTGAGGATATTCAAGGTGGCTTACGATACTGACTTACAGGTAAGCCATCCATCATGGGGAACATTTGGCCACAATGAATGGTTGGTGACCACGCCTGGGTAAGTCAAACAGAGCCACCTTTAAACTTGGACTGAATTTAACAGAAAACTCAAGAAACAAACAAACAAACAAATAAAAAACTCCTGAATATTTTTAAAAGAGTACAACCATTCCTTAAAGTTATTTAAATTATTTTATTATTACTAAACATCACAATATATATGTAAAACAGACTAAGTTACAGCCTTTTTTGAATGGACTAACTGAGGCAAAAAAAAAAAACAATTTTTTTTCTTTCCAATTTTATATGATGTTTTCTGAACAATTGCAACAGAACTGCCAAATAAGGTCTGGACCTAACAACTATAATTTGGTGGTCTTCATTCTCCTCTGGCTCTGGATCAGACTCAGGCTCCAACATGTAAGGCTGGATGTCTTCTGTTGTTGACATCTTTTAATTAATTTGTAAATTAAAAGTTTCTGTACTGTTATATGGTTGTAAACCCCTCTATCAAGCTAAAGTGGACCACTCTGGACAGCTGGAGGGGAGAGGGGTGTGAAACACCTTGTTTGGATTTAATGAGACAGCCTCAAAACGAGTTGTTCTGAAACACACCTCAGAAAAGGGGTGAAAGAGGGGCTTGTGGAGTTACAATAAGGAGAAATTCAGACCAAAGCATTGCAGTTCTACTTTATATTTTATATCAAAAAATGATTTTAATGCATGTCTCCTTTAAACAGAGTTGACTCCAAATGTTTTTTTTACATTGTAGTCAGTTTTAGATAAAAATATTTTGTTTCCCTGGCAGAAATASTCTGATATCTCTACAGGAAGTGCTCCAGATGGCACCAAAAGTAGCAAGCTCCTGCTGCCATTTCTGCTTGCAAAAAATTTAAGTGAAAACCACTGAATTAAAAAATACTGGTATTCTAAAAGGTTATAAAACAGCGTTAACATAACCCACTATTAAATGTTTGAGTCCTGAGTTGCTTTAAGGAAGCAGTGATCCCCTTTGATCTCAGCTTTGCTTMAACTAGTTATTAGCACATCAATCTTGTCAGCGTTAAACTCTGTTTCTCCAAAATGAGTTTGTTCAAACAGCTATTTACACTAATTAAGGTATTAATTATTCAAACATCAAAAGATCAAAATAATTCATTTAAAAGTTTTAGATGAGGATGTCACGGTGGCTCAGTTGGTGAAGTTGTTTCCTCTCAGTGAGAAGGTTGTTGGGTCGAATCTGGGCTAGGAACCTTTCTGAGTAGAGTTTGCATGTTCTCTACATYCATYTGTGGGTTTTTCTCCAGGTACCCCACAGACCAAAAACATGACTGTTGAACTAATTGGTAACTCTAAAGGGTCCTTAGGTGTGAGTTTGTGAATGGTTGTTTGTCTCGTTGGTCTCTATATGTCCCTGTGATGGACTTGCGAGCTGTCCAGAGTGTACCCCACCCCTCGCTCTTTGACTGCTGGGTATGGGCACCAGTAACCCCCATGACCCTGAACGGAAGAAGCAGGTATAGATAATGGAGGATATTTTAGAAGAATCACATTTCTGGTTTATCCGAAGCATGTGAGAGTAAAGACAAACAATGAAAGGATCCATGTTTGCTTCATTCTAGGCACATTTCTTTATGATTACTGTCCAGAGGATAGAGCAATATTAACAGTGACTAATCTACAATGACAGAKAACAGAATGGATTCCTGTCATTTCAGATATTTCATTGGAGAGTCATGCAGTTTGAAGCTTCAAAATCTGTTTTCCCACATGACAAAAGTCTCGTAAAACGCACATTTTTTTTTCCAGCATTTGTTATCAACGTATGGCAAAAACTGCAGTTTTAGTCAGGAAAACTGCATTACAATTAAAAAAGGTCCATGATATTGGCGCTTAATTTGGATAATATTGTAATACTTTTGTTGTGAGCGCTGATTAGGGCACAAAAATTCAGCTTGAAATGATCTTTTTTAAACAGTCAGTGTGTTTAATAGGGGTTTTACAGGGTTCCGTTTTATAATGCACATAAAAGTAGCAGGCTTTTGGCAATGCAAACTTCTTTTTTGGACACAGGCTGAACAAAAAGCTATTATCGGCCAAGCTTTCGTTCTGTTTTTTAATTGTTTAGTTTTACTTTCTCTTCCAAAGGGTCTTTGACTATAACTGTGGTTCAGAAGAACAAAAGCAAATCTATTAACAATKATGTAAACGACACTCTGCCGCTTCTGTATTTATAACATTTAAATCCATTGTTCATCCTCACCCATCGTCAGCCAAAAAATAAAATTGCAAGTGTAATAAAGACAGTTCTTGACAGACTGCCAGTTCTACTAGGTGAACTCAGATTAGCACCTAAGAAATGTCTGTAAAATGGCTTCATGGCTGCTCTGCTGTCTGGAATGAAGTAAATTTAGTTCAGTAGTTCAGGCAGACACATACTGCTAATGACCAGCTGATGCTCCAAATGAGGTACAACTAAACTCTCAACTGCAGATGCAGACTAAATTGTTGGTACCAAGGTTATAGTAGTTTTGGATTTGTCATTATAGTTTAATTTCATTTTGACTTTTTTTCTTTTAATTCATTTAGTTTTTACAGTGAATTAGCTAGTTTTTATTAGTTTTTAATTGTTTGTTTAATGCTTAGTTTTAGTTTAGTTTTTATTAGTTCTAGTATTAGTTTTTATAGTTTAAAAAACATATTTGCCAGTGCATCCTCCTGCTTGTGGTGTTTCTGAGTTAACTAACCAGCAGCCAAGGGTGTAGGAATGAGTTTACTATAGAGAGGGGACACATAATACTAGAAACCTGACAGATTAGTAAATTGTCTGAGCAGAAAAGCATTCATTCTTGGAAAAATGGTGATGTGGGTAAACCACCAAACAAAATATCTCGAGTCTAATAGGATTGCACAGCATAACGAATATATTGTCATCACAATGTCAGTGTGTGCAATATTCATACTGCAAAAGACTTCTTGATGCACATTAATTGTTGACTAATGTACTTGAAGAGGTTTGAAGTTGTATTTTTTTGTGCTAATGCAATATTTAGCCAGTGGGACAGAGTCTCATGGCAGCAAAAGCTCACACCTGACAAAAAGGACTTTGCCAAAATTACTAAAAAAATCAAATAAATCTTCAACACTAAAATGACTATAACGCTCTCAAATTTACAGATATTTCGCTAAATTTGGTAAGGTAGTAAGTAGCCCATAGTCATCACTACCATAACTGAAGTGTTAACACATCAACACCATGTGTCTGCACACATTATTTACAAGGTTTGACCAAATCATCTAACTCTGTTGCGTCTCACTAGGTGCTGATCTTAGTCTAAAATCCTAAACTGCAGTTTAACAGAAACAGGTGCTCTCATTTGCATGGTGATATTATTCTTGGCATTTGTCTATGTTTTTAAAAGCTCTGGCAGGTGAGCAGATATTTGACTTTGGGTGTACCATTCTTCCTGGTTCTCTTCTTTATGTTTTTTTTTTCTTTTTCTAAGTGTGCATGTCTTCAGGGGTTTTTGTGTGGCAGACTCACCAAACCTGGAGACAAGGAAGTCAAACCCAGCAGCTTCTTGTACTGCTCGAAGGTAAAAAACTTTAGAGGAAACACAAGGACGAAAAGAACACTTAGACAGTTTCAGAAACACACCGACACATACCTGCCTCCAAAATACTGAAGAATGAAGAGGAAATAAATCAACATATTTCACAAGTGATATTTTTAGCAACTAAAGATGAAAGAGTAATAATGTTATGTAACCATCCTTGGTCATGAAAAGGGTTAAAATCTCTGACATGAATGATAAACAGGCAATGTGTACACCTTCAAGGTATGCTAGATCTTTCAATGTGTTAATGCTCAGTGAGAATTCTCATGGAAGTTTTCCTGTTTACAGTTTTTTCTGTATGCTGTTTTGGCATAATGGTAGTTTCAGATTTGTCAGTGTTAAAACGTCAGTGTATAGCTTGTTCAAGACATTCAAATCCTTGAAAAACTTTGTGCGTTTTTAAAACACAAAGTTTTGCTTAACATTTTTTCTTTAGTTATTGTTTTATGAGTTTTATTTTTTGTTTTTCTAATTTTAGCTTGTACCGTAGTAGTTTGTTTAGGTAATTTATGTAATTTTAGCTTTAAATTATTATATTTCTCAGCATTTCTTCGTTTATTGCTGCTTCATTCACCAGGGGCCAATCAGGCCCCTCAGGTTTAATCGCTGTCTGGTGTTCAGCCAAGTACTCATCAAAGTAAGAAGCATATTCTTATGCATTTCTTTGGCATTGACTCTACATGGGAGTTTGTCCAGTTGCTCTTGAAATCCTTTCTTCATTGTTCCTAAAGGTCCAACTACAGTAGGGGGGTCCCGATACAACTTTTTCACTTCCAATATGATACTGATATTGCTGCCTTGAGTATTGGACGATACAGATATCGACCCGATACAAAATCAGAGTGAATCCTACGTTCTTTGATTACTTTTGTTGTAGTGTTAAATCTTAAAAGTCTTGAACAGGTCAAACAGTAAAAAAGAGTCAACAATAATAGGTATGAGAAAAAAATYGTCCGATTTATTTTTATACAATTTTTTTAACTTAGACATAGGAACATTGTTCAATTAAATAAAATAAAAAAAATATTTATATCAGATTGGGACACCCCTAAATTACATGCATTGGAATTCTATCTCCAGATACTTGTACTTTGATATTTTCTCTGCTTCTTTCTTTAAGATGTTATTGTCATCC